ATATATATAATTTTTTTTCTCATTATAATTTTATATATAACATACCCAGATAGCCAAATCTGTCAAAAACAAATTTTATTGTATTCAAAGCTGTTACTGTAAATTAATGATATAGAAGGAATAAAATCTACTAACGTAACACGTGATAAATTGTTGGCAAAAAGTAAGCAAGGCTTGCAATAATCTCACAGCAAATTGACAATAAAATTTGCTATCAGGTGCAAGTTTTGCTCGGCTTTTGTTGTCAATTTACTACCATATTGTTGAATTTTGCTGCTTGATTTTTGCCAACAATTTACTGACAACTTTGAGCACAATAAAATTTGCATTAAATTTGAGATCTTTTTGTTATCAAAATTATAGCAAAAATTTGACAAAATTTATTTTCGACAGATTTGACTGGGATCATATTATAGTAATAAAAATATATAGTACAAAATATTAGAAATCGCTCCGAGATCTCAGACAGAGAAAGAATTAATAAATCACATTTGAACAATTCGATCATATAATCAATACAATATTCCATCTGGTCAATTTTTTCCATCCAAAATTTTACAATCAGATTTTTTATTATAAACACAAGGCTTTTTAGAAAAGATTTCTCAGAGAAAAATGATGATATAATCTTTTCGATTTATTTTCGTTATGATATAATCATAACATTACCTGGAGCGCGGCTGTCGAACTGGTGGTAGCGTGCAAGAGACCCTCACTACCGCAGTCGAGCAAGATTGCGCTGCCAGTACCGCGAATACCCAAATCGTCGCAGGAACTTTCCCTGCTTGCCGAATAGTAGTTACCGCCTCCCTTGGTCTCCACGTGATTGTCGTAGCGATACGCTTTGGTCATTATACCACCGACCGGCGGTGGCGGTGGCGGTGGTTGTTGTTTTCGAGTGCAGTTACGCGGTTGCCGACATATGCGTCCATAGAGACGACGGAAGCTTCGGGCGAGCACGTCACCTACTGTGCTTAAATAAACCAGCATCAGCGGAATTCCCGCCAAGGCGTAAACTATAGTGATCAATCGGCCCCAAACTGTGCGTGGTGCTACGCTACCATATCCTGAAACAGAACGATCGTTTCCATATATTTCGATATCTATCATGTGACGAAAATAAACGTTCGAATTTCGTGGCTACAAGCTAATAATACTTGACAATTGTATAAGTCTCGGTTTATATTGAGTGCAAGATGACGGCTACGATTTGGCGAATAATATATAGGTCGAGATGACGTTTTGAACGCGGTCATTTGGACGAATTTGGACAAACCTATGGTAGTAATTAACGTCAGAGAATACAGCAAGCTACTGCTGAAAGTCCATCGTCGTCCGTGTAGTCGTCTATCCGCCTGATGCTCTCGGGACCGCGGAGGCACCTGCTCGTAAGAAGTGCGCCTAAGACCGCGGGCCAGATTCTCTTGGAACTCGAGGACTTCTCGAGCAGCTAGGCGAGTCCAATTCTCTTTGTAGAGAACATTAAGATCCTCGGTGATACTCCATAGCTTTTCGACCGTGCGTGCTCTTAATTCTGTGGCAACGGAGTCGTTCTCCAGATTAGGCAGCACATAGGAAGCCCCATCGGATTTTGAGGATGGAATCTCAGTAAGCGAATCCTATAGGAGAAATATAAGTATAAATTATTCTCATCGAAATATTTGAGCGATGATCATATCGTCGGCACATTGCGAAGATTTCGATTGATCAAATTTTTTTTCAAATAATTGTAAGAATAATATTGTTTTGAATATTGATCAACAATCGTTGAACACGAAAATATTATATTTTTGTAACATGTGTGCATATATGTCTAATCTCTGTCATGAAAGTCAAATCTCTAGTCAGAGTTAATGTTAACAATAAATACTAACAATAAATTGCTCGATTAATTTTATTTAATTAAATTCAATTTCATTTTGTAAATTTTGTTTTTCTTTACTTCACAATTTCACATTTATGCAGAATCAAATTAAATGCGAAATCGTCGAACGAATTATGTTATCTTGAGTTTCGGTGTCGAATGACAAATTGGGAGGAAATGATTTAATTGTCGTCGGCCCCTCACCGATTTAAGGTCTCCCTCGAGGGCCATAAAGGCGAACGCGCCGAGGAGGGTGTAGCCGAGGACGAGCACACACACGCCAAGACTCGCTAGCAATCCCGGAGTCTTCGTGGAGGTAGAGGTGCTGCAGCTGCAGCAGCAGCAGAGCAGCTCCGCGCCTCGCACCGATCCGCTCGCACTATTATTGTTGTTATTGCTGTTGCCATTTCTACCCGGACAACATCTCGGCGCTCTTTGATAATAGTCACCGGTGTTCTGCATCGTTTCGCCCTCTTATTAAATCGTCGCCACCGCCACCACCGCAGCTGCAGGTGCAGCGACTGATGACGCCGCAGCTGCAGCCGCAAGCGGTCGCAACGTTCTAGCGTCTTTCTATCGACCTCGTACTACGATCATCGCTGTTGCCATCCACCTAGTATCCACGCTGTTTGACCTGCATCACAATCATAATAATACATGAAGTATATTGTAACCGGGATTTAGAACAGATTGTTGCAAATAATTTCTAAATGAAATATTTGCGCATTGTTTCTGACTTACTTTTCGTTCTTTTGTGTTAGTTATATCTTTTGTCCCAAGAAGATAACTTGTATCGCTATCATTTTAAAAAAAATAAAAGAAAGTCAATGAGACTAAAGAAAAGAAAGATGTTCAAATGTGTTCGCGAAATAATAGTTACACATATAATTGTGAACGATGTCATATTTTACTTGCTGATCATTCTCATTTCAATCAGATAGAATTTCTTTCATATGAATTGGGAATTTAAAGTAGCGATATAATTAGATGCATCTATCGTCAATACATCTAATTATATATATCATCATTAATAATCCAAAATAAGGAATCATTCAAAGGGATCATTTGTCATTGTGCATTATATGCAGTAATGCACAGTGACAAATAATTCCCCCTGATCAATAGATCTATTCTTTTTTCACCCCGCAAGTTCTGAACATGTGTACACTGGTGCAATAAATAAAGAAAGACAGGTATAGTTTGTCTTACTTTAACTTACTGCATTAGTTCAGAATCAGTTCAGAATTCTTCGAAAAAGAACAGACTTCTTATATTGGTTGGTTAATAATCTTTCTAGTAGCTCCTTCATTTCGCGTTCATGCGAAACAAAAGCTTTTGTAAATTGAGCAATTAACTCATCGCCATCTATATAAATATTATGGGAAATGCGGTAGATTTATTATTCCTATTATTGTTATTGCTATTATTATCATTTCTAGCATGACTGTAAATAATATAAAGGACTATTTATGATAAATGTCATAAAATATGTATTACGTGGGGTATTGTATCATCAGACGTAAGACTTGTCTATAAGAATCCATTCTGTGACTAATTGTAAAATCAATTTTACTTTAACAAAAAAAGAAACTGACGCCATCTTTTCTGGCGACAACTTTTCTTTATTTTTAATAGATTAATAATTATTTTTAAATATACTAATAAATATTTCTTCGTATAAAATTAAACTTTAAAATAAGATATTATCAGAGAAAAGTCTACTTGTATGGAATTAATTAAGAGCACGGTCTCATAATCTATTTTTGTTCCGATATAGCTTAGTTTACAAAATGACTTTTATTCCAGTGACACGAGATCCGATGGCGCGTACCCCGTTCCGTCAGTCAGTCTCGTACATCTGATAAAGCAATCGTCACTACGTAAAGTCGGAACACGTGCAGAAATAGCCAGCTACACGATCGACCCTTGGTATACATTCACTACTCGCGTTCGCTCGTTACAGAAACGCGTACATCAGATGCACGATGTATAATAGGCACTTGCGCGACTCGACACGCCGGAACGGTAGAAAACGGAGAAACAGCAGCAGAAACGGAGACAGAGACGGAACACGAATTCACTATCCTAGACCGCGATAGGAATGTCTGTAAAGGACTGAGAATCTGGGAGAGAAAGAGGGGAAAGAGAATGAATGCATTTTAGAGAGAGAAAGAGAGAGAGAGGGAGAGAGAGAGAGGGGGGGGAAGTAGGGAGAAAGAGAGATAAGGGTCAAAACGAAGAGAACGCGTGTGTAGATCATCGAGAAAAGCACGAGTTTCAAATGAATGTACGTTAGATCGTTAGATTTTCAAGATGTGAAAAGTATCAATAATTGCTTCGTCTAAAGAAAATATCTCGTCTTCGCATGTAAAGCGATCGAGAGACAGGCAACATCGCGCAATTGAATAAATAGATATGGCAAATTATTCGAATACTATTCGATATAAGAAATGGAACAATTATTCTAAAGATAAATTATAATGTTTGATAATTAGCATTTAACCGAAAAATATTAATTTTTATTTTACAAGATAAAAAAAAGGATGAAAAGTTAATATAGAGAGAAAAGAGTTAGGACATAGAATAATTACAGAAAGAAAGAGAGAGAGAGAGAGAGAGAGAGAGAGAGAGAGAGAGAGAGAGAGAGAGAGAAAGAGAGAAGAGAAAGGATGAGAGAATAAGAGATCTGTCTGAGAGAGAATAGAAGAGAAATGTATAAATAGAATGTGTGCGAGAAGAGTAAAGAGTAAGCACATGGAACGCGTGCGTATGACACCGTTAATAAATGATGTGTGCGTATGCATATACATATACAGTGGTTCTACGTGTGATTGTGCACGCGCGAGATCCGCGACCGTCCTAGTTGAGGCATTGTAACACGGCTACCAGCGATAAGGCATGAAATTAAATTCGAGGGAATGTGGGTCGTCGTGCCGTACGGCTCCTTTCGCCACCCTCTACGTCACGTCCTGTCTAACGACAACGTCGAAGAGATACGTTGGTACCCGCCTACCTATATGAATATATACATATAAGAATGTATACCAGATAAATATTGTAACAATCACTAAAAGAACATTTTTCAAGTTGCTCATTTATATGTTAATTTTGCAAAGTACCTTATAAATCTAGCATATGGTTTTTCATCCATGAATTTTTTTATTAATTTGGAGTTAATTTATTTTTATTTTTCACTAATGAATATATGAGATTGATGTAGAATTAGTAGCGATTTAGCAAAATCATCAAATCATGACATGTTCTGACCATAATAACATGTCGCTTTATTGTATTACGACATCAAAAACAATTTTTCATTTCGCATAAGTTGATAAAATATTTGAATTACTATTTTTAACGTTTTTTTTTTTTAGAACCATTTAACACGTTTTCACGAGGCACATGAATGATTGTAATCGCTATGAAAACGCCGGAAGCGTTTCCAAAAAAAAAAGCTAGAACATGCTGCTCCAGATAATTCGATGAGAGATAATTCGTATATTGATGTACTCTCAAATAACTTTGAAAATACATGTATTCTATAAATAGTATATCAAAATCTAAAATAAATTTTCTCTTTTAATGAAAATCAATAATTTTTCAACTTTTTCAATTGCAGATATACAAATACAGCATCTTACTCTTTACTTAACTTTAAGTAAATTTTATTTTAATGAAATTTTCAGTATTGACATTTAAGAATGTGATAGAAAAATATGACATTTTCTATAATCGTATCTTTGTTGAGAGAAAATTAACTTCGATATTGATAAAAGAAGAAAGAAGGAATACCGACTATAAAATTAAGAAATTTTAGAACACGCAATCGCGATGCGTAAACTATCTTTTATAGTTTGCACATACTATGTATGTGCCAAATGCTCATTACATTAGGCACCGTGCCATAGGCATCAGTTGGCATTAGTCGACCATAAGCATTTGTTCAATTGAAACATATGTGTGAGCAAATATCAAATAATTGCACTATCAGCTATTGTAACATTGTCATAATGGACATGACTAAGTATGAAAATAGATTCGAACTTTTGTTTTGTACATAAAATAATTAAATGTGGCAAGATTAAATTGTATTTTAACTAGAAATGATGGATAATTTAAGTTCATAATTAAAACAGATTTTCCTACAGTCAATACTGATCCAAAAATATTCTCTAATATAGGACACGAAATAATTTCAAAAGAAAGAGGATTGAACTTAATCTCTGGATTGTCTGATTTTTACGGGTTAAGTTAAATCCTCTCAGTATTCTTAATAATAATGATCCAATATTCTCAATATAAAATCTTTTTTTGTTTCCATTTTTGTTTTAATAAGAAAACAGTGATAGAGAAAAATCATTGGTTTAATTTATATATGCCATTTAATAAAAAATCCTTTAATACCACCTTTAAAATTCTTTAATACCATTAAATATATATTATTTAATATATTTGATCGCATATTACTTGCATGTTAACTTTTAAATTTTAAATTAAATGTACATAATGCTTTTAGTCTTTCATTCTTATTATATGAACTTAAAGATATATTGTTAATTTGGATCAATTTTAAACATTTTAATTAAATGTTAAACACATGTCAATTTTAATTTAAGTACATACTTGTATTTTGTTATATACAACAAGCTTGAAAATATAATCAAAAACAACCTTTATTTTAGACTGCATGCTGCTTGTGTATTAAAATATCAAATAGAACTTCTTGTATTATATCTTATGCATAAAGCCTCGTGACTTTGACGTATAGTCCAAGGCGGCCCTAGGCGGAATGCATTAATCTGTCTACATAGCTAGGTAGCGATTCGGGTCTGTCAAAAGTCAAGGCGTGCCTGCTACGTGGATTAGATGGGATAAATGATTTTCCAATATCGATACGGTTTCTAGCAAAGCTTCCCATTTCGCTAGA